GAAAAGTAATAACACTGATACTCGAAGAACGAAAAAAATGAGAGAAAAAGGAACATTACGAAGCTACTGATGTGTGCATTTTCTGTTGAAAATAAAACGAAACAGACAAACACACCAAGAAGGAATTAAGGATAACGAATAATCCATTTTGAAAACATGTAAACCAGACAGGATTTCTTAGTGCTTGCTTCAGTACAAAATGTACAATTCGCTACTAGGCTTTCTCCAACATCACTAGAATGTGCTGTACTTTGACGAGAAAAATTAATTGAAAGGAGATTTTCTTCTCCCATCCATACCTGATTCAAAGCATCATAGAGACTCTCGTAGAGACTCTCTAAATTCAGAAGGATTACAGTCCGTCCTGTCTCCATGCATACCTTAATTCGATTAATGTCTCGGCAGACCTTTAAATATATGCAAAAGTAAAGGGTCGTAAATTCAAATCACAACTCAATTTATAATCCACAATTTAAGCCCCAACAGACAGCGTGTCCACTATGGCTTTAGTTGGACGGTCTAATCGACCAATTTCCTTGTTAATTCAGACGTTTTACTAAAAAGGCTTTACCGGCCATAGGTTTACTTGATCGTTTACTACTCGCACGAAAAATACTGATCTCAGTAACTCCAGTTGGTCCTGTTACCAACGTTAAAACGGTCAAAATGACTAACTTTGACGAATATTTGCGTATTATTCGTCATTATCTACACATACTTAATGGGACGCGTAGCTCTGCTATCACCTTTACATTACAAGTTTAGTCAATTTGTTCAAGTTGCGATTTTATTTATCACAAACGCCAAAGATTACAGCAGTATCCTCTGAAGATGATTTTAAATTAAAGTTTCAAGGGAGCATCCTCTTGAGAAGCTGAAATCAACCTATTGGCTTATCAACCATCAAGGTGAATTCGCCTAAATAATGTGGAGCAACTACCATTAGTTATGCCACCTTATTTAGTAGTCAAATTTAATGTGAACTACTATATGTAATACGAAGGATGTCTGCCTACCTTGCTTAGGAGTGTTACAAAGTGTAAGTACCTGTGTGTACTCCTGATCCTTCGGAAAGCTACTCCCAAAAATTACGACAGGTTCGTCACCAGGTCGAGTTTCATCACCACTTCGAAGTAACTCTTTCCAAACAATCGGCAGAGCGGCATAATTTTCTGTAAGTACCAGTAGGTATCGACTCTCTCTGTTTAAACAAAAGAAAAACGCCTTTGAAGAAGAAACGCTCCACTTATCGTTTTATTTTAGATGAACAACCAGTTAAAACTTAACCTTGGCAGGTTATTTAACGATAGATAGCGGGACCAAGCAACTGAGCCCTACGCAGTGATGACTTACATAACATTTAACTTCTTTCTCACCCTTTCGTGTCCTTTTGATCTCTCAGGCTTGCCTTGATCAGATTCAAAGCAGACGACAGATCTTCATTTTGCTCCATCTTCAAAAGACAAGAAGTAGATATGCATACGCACAAGACAAGAAGTAGATATGCATACGCATTCGAGTTAATATATTTAAGCTCTTCAAAATTTTAAAACCAACAATAAATTACAACCAAATTTCCTTCTCAATGAAAATATATTTTCATTCATTTTGTAACGGTTTTTCAAACAAATGTACGGATCATTTTAATACATTTAGTCAATTTTTATGTTGCAAAAAAAAAAAAAAAACAGTCGGTGTAGGTAAACTAGAACTAAAAAATACCGATAAAATACCCACCATACGGCTTTCACCCAAAGCGAATTGTTTGAAAATTTCCACAGGTTTAATCTCATCCAGTCCCCCAAAGTTTCTTCTAATGGCATGTTCTACCTCAGGCCAACGTGGCTCGCGACCTTGCTCCTCAGCAACTTTGTACACCATCTTCACAAGGCTTAAACAAGAAAAATTAAATTTAAACCCCTTAGCTTCCAAAACTTGATAGACTTCAGCATGTAACGAAATTTGGCTCTGAGCCTCAATGTTCGAAGGGTATTGTGAGGATAAGTGACATGGCAATTACTTCTAGGAGTTAGAGCTACATGCAATATTCTTTGTGATAAAATTTAGCTTCCAGCAGCTACTTCAAACATTTCACCAAGTATGCAATCTTCCTTACCATCAAATTTTGTTACATAGAGAAATCTGAAATATCCGTTTGCAGCAGCCAAAAGGGGGATGTAAGTATATAAAAAAATGCGTAAAACTTAAAAGATTAATACAAGACATGATTGCAATAAATAGGCCAGGATAGCAAGTGTAGTCGCGGGTCCTACTGCGGCTAACCCCATCTATGGTAAAAAATAGGTGACAAAATAAGGTAGCATGTAAGAGGCTACAGTTGAGGAACCCGTCTCTGGACAGTCCTAGCCGAAAACCTACAACAACTGCACATGAGCGTAACACATAATATTGAATGTGTAGAAGACTAACATGAGAACTATCAGAATTACCGAATAAATCGAAATGCTACCTGTAAAAATCCCGAAGACCAAAAAATTCATCTTTTTTGGACTCCTGCAAGGTCTCAGACCGTCTTTGAGTATCGTACAATTGTTCGTAACCTCTTGCCAGGGGATTCATAAGTGGTGCAACAAAACTTTGTATTCGTCTATTGGTGGAACAAATGCCCCTACAAAAGAAAGAGATTTCATGTTGTGACCAACGTCTCTTGTATGATAAAGCTGCACGTTAGATATCAGTATAAACTACCTCATTCCTGAACCCGAATTTAAATTCCTTTTTGTACTTCTCATTTATTACAAGTTTACATTTCACTACACTGCAAGATGAACTGAAAATAAGGTCGCGGACATGATTTTAAGTCTTTTGAGTTGTAGGCTGACATTTTCAACATTTACTGAGGGAAAACCTTACATTGCACTTTCCACCAGTTCCTCTGAATCAGGCAGACCACGTGATAACATAATTCCACGGTTCATTTTGGCAGGGTCTAGAGCCCAGTTAGAGATCCCAATGAAGGCCACTCTTTCCGGAAAGTGCCCTTCAGTGGCAATGACGTCATCAGTTGAGTTCACCCCATCTTCAAGTAGCGGATGAAGAGTTTTCAGGGGCATCAAAGGTGAGTCTTCAGCGAGGCCAACCTCGTCCAAGACCACAACTGACACATACTTGTCTGGGTTATTGGCTTTCTGAAGGTTGCAGCAATTGCGGAAGGTTGCCATGATCCCTTCTGCAGTTGAGAGCGGACTGCACTGATAAGAAATCATCTGTACCTGGTTTAAAATGAATATATTTCCGTCAGTGATAACTGAAAATAGACATGCTTTGTCAAGTCACGGATACACTGCCAGAAAGGATGCATCATGACTTTGCATCAGCGATGAGTGCTTATTTTGTTCACGAATGCGCCATAAAACCGCAATCACCATCAATGCACAACTAATTCAATCTGTTTGTAAGTAGAACAAGAGAGAGAGGTAAATTTAAAGCTCGGTAAAGAAATATATTTTTAGTCTTCTCACGAGCGTGGGACAAAGAAATAATTCTAAGTGTCCATGAGGAACCAACCTCAGACCTTTGGATTCCGTGCTTGGATGCTCTACCACTGAGCTACAGAGACTCAGAAAGTGTGTCCTATATGAACTTCGAAATGGCCTTGCTCACCATAGGGTCTGTGTGGCTCAGTAGTAGGGCATCGGAACGAGGAGTCCGAAGGTCTGAGATTCGATTCCTCATGGGGACTCAGAATTTTTTCCGTCCCCACGCTCGTGATAAGACGAAAAAAAACATCTTTCTCTACTTAAATCTGTGTTTTCATAACCGTACTCTCTTTTAAAAAAGAATAGTTTGTACATACGAAATCATACACCTACCTGCTTGAACGTCTTGAAGAGAGGAGACCTTGAGGCATCTCCAAGCATGTTGTCAGTTACAACAGTCTTGGCAAGTGACTTGGAGCTACCCGGTTTACCAACGACAAACAATGGAATCCTCAGCTCAATACATACCACCATCATGAATACGTTTTCGCTCAAGGCCGTATTGCGAGCAATGTTATCCCCTAGTTTCAGTTCATTTAGTACTGCCTTCTGACAGCTAGGGAACAAAAATGTAAAAAAAAATTGTAACAAGCCGAGACTACAACTTACAAATAATCAAGTCTAACCCGAAAAATGAAAAAAATAAAAAAGTAAAAAAAACGACAATTATGCCTCGACCACAGGGCAAATGTTTGACAGCATTACCTTGCGATTTCCTGCAGAATACGTTCATGTCCACCTGGTAGTTGACACGGATTTGCGAAGCTTCTTGCAACGGCACGACGAAATGGCTCTCTGTCTTGGAGGCGTGCGTGGTAACAAACTCCAAGGGAGAGTACAAGTGCTCGAGTAACATCATCAAGAGGCTTAATCAAAATGAAAACAAATTGTGTTGTGTTATATTCATTACATCTATCGTGGCAAACATTAACAATACTTATATAAGTAAATACCGTGTACTATGTGTGCTCGCAATAACACCTCCTTCTCGTCTGATACATAAATAGAGCATTAAGATGACCTTTCGAGTGATTATACGGACGGTGATGTTAGTTCATGGTATAACGACAATGATTGCTCGAGCCAAATCAGTGAGAAGATAAAGTATTATTCTCTATTGTGTGGCAAAGACCAAGGTTTTTTTCACTGCAAAAGGTCTGGTTGAGCTTATTCGCGAAATCACTCGAAGTAAGGATAGGTAAAGCAAAACTAGCAGGTTCCTTCGACCAACAACCTGGGTTTGAAATAAACAGCACCACAATATTACGTTTAGAATTTCATTTTATGAGAATTACTTGAAATATTTCATCCTCCTCATCATCGGCATCGCTGTCGTCATCGTCGTCATCTTCGTCATCACTGTCTTCATCGGTAGCACCATCCATTAAGGGATTGAGAGCATCACGATGATTGTAAAACCAAACCATCACATTCATAGCACGTTCTACATCGCGAAGACTCACAAAGCTGCATTCATCCTGTTAAGTTTAGTTCAGTCAAATCATTTGAGCAGAGCGAAAAAGGAGTTAAGTTGCGATAATCTGTATTTCGTATTAATGTGAAACAATTCCTTAAACCTAAGATTGTCAAAAAGGCTGACGTACCGTTTGGTGTCTCATGTAACGCTGGGAAGCTGTAAGTATGGCTGTCAAGGCTTTCACCAGTGGAGGCTCTCCCGGAATTTTCGCTTCTTGTAAAACCTTGTTTAGAAAAAGGTGAAAAGGAGCTTATAAAATGACCGTTTTTTGTTTTAACCGTATACTTATAAACAACACATTCTTAAGCTTTGCCATCTTCTCTTGACAGCAACAGTGAAGATTAACTCACAAATCTGGTGACAATTTGACGGATGTAAAGCTCCTCAATTTCAGGCTTAAGCTGACCGAAGTCCCACACTAACGGACGCATGCTCTCTGGCAGTGCATGAACTCTGTAAACCAGATGGCGAAGAGGAATGTGACCTTGAAAATTAAAAGAGAGAGCTTAAAAAGTCATTCTTGGAAGCGCTTGAGAAAACTGACTTTCCAAAGACGAAGTGACACAGGCCAGGAAAAATTCATTCTTAGGGTTTGTGAGGTTCATTTTCAACAGCACACTAAGACTAAAGTTCACTATAAGCCTCTTTTATTCTTAGAAGCGACAAAGCACAGAATATCGCAACATCTGCGTATCATGCTGGTCTGCGCATCTGCGCATATCGTAGTCATAACAGGCCCTAGTTCACCCCCGAATTCATAATAATGTCATACCCAGGCGATCGCGTGTCTGTTGAGTGGCAACATGGTACCCTAGTCCAGCTGACTCCAACTTATGAATCATTTCGTCCGTATGTCTGTAAAACAAAAGGTAAGTATAATTTTTGACCCCTTTGACAGTACACTGAAAAATTCCCCACTATATTTTGACTCACTTTCTGTAAGGATTACACGCTGCAATAAACTGCAGCCTTTTGAGCCCTACTCCTATCTTTCTGCCGTTGACTCTGCGATCAACCATAACCTCCTTGATCATTCCTAAGGCATCAGTTGTGTTAGCTTCGTCAAAAAACAAAACTGTGTCGATGTTCAACGTTTCGTTCTCCGTGGCCATTGCCTCAGCATCTTCCACTTTCTTTTTAATGTCTTCGTAGGTAGTACCTCCATGAACCTGTCAATTAAATCAACTAGGTTGCAATGATGGTAATTTTTAGATATATGAAAATTTCACATATTTGCCAACCATAGAGTAGATGACAAATAAACCAACCATAGAGTAGATGACAAAATTTCCCCGCGTCATTTCTCCTCTATTTCTTTTGCCATTTTAAATTAGCTTATGCGTAGAAAAATCAATAACAACTTTTTCTACAACTTTGCGATGGGAAAAAATTATTGTTCATTTGTCCATGACACAAAGAAAGAAATCAGTGAAGAGAGTAATTTTAGATGAAATTAGATAAACAGTTAAGACGATAAGTATGCACCTCTAATCGTGGCATTAAAAGTTTGACTGACGGTGGTTTGACTAGAATGTTCTAAATCATACCACTATCAAGGGACTAGGTTATGATGGACTCTTCCAAAGAGTATTCACAAATGGGCAAAATCACTCTATAGAAAACAACCTGTTTATTTCTTACCTTCATTAGCAGCATGTTTTTAGGTCCACCAGGCCCAGATTGTAAGCCACACATGTACCGAATAAGGCATGTTTTGCCACAGCCAGTCTCACCCATGATGACCACAGGAATGCCACACCTGGAGCCAAATTTATAATATTAAGAGAAACATGCGAGAAACTTATAACCAGTCGTAAGTAAAACATTTTTTCGATATTTATTTCCACCATTTTTTTTCTTTTAAATCAAAATTAATTTTCATACTGTGAAAAAAATTCTAACTTTGTACAACAAAAATACGTTTACCATTATACCTGAATCGCATGTGGATGGCTAGAATTTTCTTCAAGTTGTCCGTGGTGAGTTCGTACGAGTCGTCTGGATCATACGGCCATTCGACACCCATTACACCACAGAGTTTCTCAATCTTCTGGGCCCTAGAATTGGAGGAAAAGTAAGAATACCTATGTGAAGCACTTGGAGACTTTCTTCTACGATGGAGAACTCAAATGCAAAGCACCGATTATCTGTTCAATGCCTTATTAGATGACGCAGGGTAAAATAAGCTCCTACAATGCTATTCAAAACTTAAAAATTCAAGGCGTAAGAAATTCTATCCTCTATAAAACATTAAATCAGCTTCACACTTACTTGCTCCAAGATTCATAGTTGGTTTGCATGTCAACCTTTTGAACATGGAGGCCAGTACGCAAGTGCCTCGACATCAAATTTTGCTGAATGATAACATGACGATCTGGATCGATTAAGTTCCCATTTGGGTCAATATGAAAGCCAACGAAAGTCATAGTGATGCGATCCTGGTTGAAGAATATGTACGGATGCGAACTGCAAAAAGAAATAATAATGAAAGTAACTCGATAAATAAAGAAATGGATAAGAAGATAATTAAATTAATATCTATATATCTACAGAAAGAAAACGAGATAATACTAATGGAAACTTGCGCTTTTTTGCTTTTCTATTTTAGTTCACATACCTCTCCAAAATTGCTCAATAAAGGTCTCTAAACAATTTGCAAGGCTAATACGGAACTTCAACTAGGCCCTCCTGGACAAACAAGACGTAGACGTATCATTATGTATAATGTTTCTCGAAGTGGTTGGTGCAATGTTGAGGAGAAAAAGACAGCAATAGCAAAAGAAGTTGTCCTGACAATTCAGCGAGGTTTGTCACGCAGCTACGTTTATTTCTGACCAGGGTGTCATGGCTTCAAGTTAACAAAATTTACAAGGAAGATAAGTGATGAAGTTCAAAAGAGAGTAAGTGGATGCAACTGTTGTACCTAGTTTCCCAATGTCTTCTGAGAGTAAACTGTGTAACTACAGCTGCTGCTTCATCATCGACCGCATCATCATCCGTGCCAGGAGTGTAAGTGGTTTGTTCGCAAGAATTTAGGGATGGTGTGGCAAAATCCTAAAAAGTTTCATAAATTAACATTTTCAGCAAGTATATTACTACCTTTTCATTTTAGCTGTCGTTGACATCGATTGCAATTCTTCTCTCTTAATAAGGGAAAGGATGGTATTTGTGGTCTGTTTACTCTGGTCTATCGGAATCACCGGTGGGTAATTAAATGCACTGATGAATGTATGATATTTGAAGGTACTCATGATCAAAAAGTGGAGGAAAAAATAAAGGATAGGCAAAGCCAATGGGACGTGACTTATTAGTTACCTAGACAGATCGGCAACGAATAATGCAAAGATCGATGGATAACGGATTGTGTGAGGACTATCACAATGACTGTTTGATGGATTCATTTCAGTGTTGTTTGCTGAGATGCGTTTAATGATCTAATAACTTACCCGTGACATTAAAACCATAAAACGAACCACAAAGCTTCTAAAACCCTCAAGAGTGTCTCCTACCAACTCCATGTTACAGAACGAGCTGTCTTCACAGGTTTGTAGCTGAGAGTTGAGAAAGTTCACAAAGTGGCGTATCTCCGCCCACGAAGGGTTCTCGATACCACAATTTCTGTGGGTGGATTTGTTTAGTCAGCAGAATATTAGTTGAATTTTTCAATACAGATAAACAGGGATCTAATAACCACACACCTAAAATGTTCCTCATCTCCTAATGTTCCTTTAGTTTTAGGTTTACTTGTGTTCTAAGGGTATTGCATATTAGCTTTGTTGATGATAAATTCATATAATAGCATGGTCATATAAGCCCCAAAAAGTAGCTAAAAACGAAAATGCTAATGTTCATTTATACTTTAAAAATTTCAAGAATGTCACCAACAGCAGATTTATTCTAATGATACGTTGGGAGACAACTGGGCTGATCCACATTGAAAGAAGAGATTCGATTATTTTATGAGAGCCTTTGCAATTCTCCTACAAACATTGAAACAGTACAACGTAAAAGCAATTGACTGAAAGGAGTTTCATTGTAACATAGACAAATCAAAGGATTCTTTACCTGGTGAGTATCTCAATGCACTCTGTATGGTCACCCATCACTTGACCGGGTACAAAGCAGAAAGTATCCAGATTTTGGCCTCCGGCGTCACACAACTTGAGGTACTGAAAGGCTCGCTGAACATACGAGCTCTTAAATTCAGCAGCGTCAAACAAGGGGTCCAAACTCTTGCCAGCTAGGTTGGGACAGAAAACAAAGAAAACAGTAGTGCACTCCACAGTTTCTTGTTCGCAGTAAACCAAAAATGCTGTCACAATTAATGTATATCAGGGGGCCCTGCTTTGCATTTTAAATCTACCCATACCTTTATACCGTCGCACACAACTAATAGGCGCTGATTTAAATTTGTAATAGTTAGAATCAATAAATTATGTATTCTAACCTGTTGGATTAGTTCTCAATTTAAATAATGTTTGCATAGGTGTTCCACAATGAATAGTGGGAAGAAGCCTGTAAAAAGGCTCTGCTGTGACTTTCTTGGAACTAACAACCTGTTGAGACAAATAAAAGCATTCGGCTTGAAAGTCTTCTTTTTTTGTTTTCCAAATTCAAAATTTTATTGACCTTTGCAGTCTTAAGTCGTTTCTCAGCAGTTTGGTTTTCCCCTCGAGGTAGGCCTGAAGTAATTTCAATAACATAGAGGTCGGAAGATCGACGCCTCCAGATCTGACCAGTACAACTCTTCAAGGCACCAAGGATAAACAGATTAAACAGAAGTGTATCCAGACCAGTTCTGACCTGAGGAAATATTCACCTGTTAATACTAATAATAACCAGCATCTCTGGACGATACATATAGAAAAAAAAAAAAAAAAAAAAAAAGTTTACCGAGGGATGCACATCAAAGTGAAATATTCTGGATACAGGTAAATCAGGAGCAACGGTGTGGTGCAATAAGGACTCGACCACAGCACTTTGGTGAATAATCGGTCCATAAATCGGTACATTAATGCAAAGTGGCATATCGGTATTCATGTCCCTCAGGTAGTCCATTACTGTTTCATTATTTTGAAGTTTACTAAGGCGTTGGCTGAGTCGACAAACAGCTAAACTTTTCCCAGATCCAGCTCTTTCTGATGATATAACTCTTACAGCTAGCCTGTTCAACAGAAACAAATAAATTGATTACTTACCAACTTCTTCAAGTATCCTTTATTTTAAACCGTCACCAAGTAACCTAGCTATCCCATACGAGAGAAAAATTCATCCGTGTTCTTATATGGGATTTTGGATTCCAATCGGTCTTATCGAATATCTCAGAAACATCGTTCATTGCCATTCCCGAAACTTAATACATAATTGGTACCCACTGTACTCTAAAACCCAAGGGGAATTTCAAATTTCAATACAAACCATCCTCTATTTTCGTGTGGTAAATAGGCCCTTACCCTTCTCTGTCTAATGCAGCTGCAGGAATCCAAGGCAATGTTCGACCTCTGAACTTTCCTTGTTGTTGAGTACGTGGCTTGAACTGTTCTTTCAGGTACTGCCTTATCTCTCCGGACGAACGACAATGGGGAATAGTGCCAAGCCTGTACTGATCAAGAGCTGCAGCCATGTGAGCTCTGTCTTCATTTTCGGAACTACAGATAACCACAAGAGACACGTCTGAAAAAGAATTTTACTGATACTGTTAAAAGAGATCAGTGATTAAAGCAGAAAATATCAAATAATAGACCTATATGACAGAAAAACATTGTTAGTACCATGGACAAAAAGAAAGCGAACAAATGAAAAGCTGCTACCCTGTAATTTAACTTTAAGAGGAATTTTTAACTCCACTTAAAAGAGGTTAAATTTTGGCGTAAAAAGGAAAGGTTTCATCAATAATTTAGGAGAAGTAGCAACCTATACCATATACTTTGTATTTTCTTCTTGTATCATCAAGGTTAATCTAAAAGTACTTGTTTTGCTGATAATTGTTTGTTGTCCTGCACTGGAAATTAGTTTCTTTTGTAATAGTAACTGCTCAATTGATGGCAAAATTAATAGGAATGTAGACTCTCACTAGTTTACAAGAAAATGACGAGTGGTCTGTCAAGTTTCAAAATTAAAAGCTACCGTTTCTAATATGAAGGCAAATGTAAAGCGCAAATTATAAGCAATAAGAATTTGATCAAGATTTAACAGTTAGGGAAGATTAACTGTACAAAAATAAAAATTCTAGTTACCCTCATTTCGACTGTATTGAGGCTCATGCAGAAAAACATCTAAGACGTCGGCAGCCTTTTGGGAAACACTGTAATCAAGAAGGTCAACGTTTACCAGACAAAACAACCTGCCATCGTGGTCTGCCAGGGATCTTCGCCACAATAATTCAATCTAAGAGCAATATGGATAGTGTTGAAGATCGCCAAGTGCCTTATGATATTTACTCATTGAAAAGTGAAACACAAAAATACTTCATGGTACTTAGTGTTACTTACAGTTTGTATCATTTACAACTTCACAGTCAGCCGTAACGTATCTCTACTGCCAATATTTTTTGAGACTAAAATACCACATTACGTGCTTTTTGTAAGAGTTTTAGTCAACAACTCACCTCTTCTGTCGTTGTGTCTGGAGTACAGATCAAAACTTCCTCTGCCGTGGGTAGAGACTGCGAACTGTCATGCATGTATAAAGACAGTAAAGTTCCAATGACGTCATCTACAGAAGCGCGAAAAAAAAATTGAATGACCTTGAAGTCAATAACAGTACAGAGAAAAAGAAAAATTAATAACAAATGCAGATTACCACAGCAGTCAATATACCCCAACATAGCGTAAAGAGACCACACGTTACCAAAGAGATTAAAGGAAAAGGAGAAGCAGCTTACGAAAAATAAACGGGTTTTCCTACCTTTTGGAACAACCATAAAATTAGGCTTTCCACGTTTGAGATACATTGGAATGAGCCTTCTTCGTCCTTTAGATCCTGTAATTAGCAATAAATCAGTTTCTGACGGGCGGTTTGTTAAAGTGGAAGCTTAATCTACAGCAACCCATTTTATAAGTATTGGCATTAAATCGTACATTAAGTTGTTTTGAATGTGATTTTTTTCTTTATGATTTTCATTTTACAAAAGTCACATTCTTTAACATTCATGCCGCTGAAGCGAAATGAGAAAAGTTGCACAATAGGCATGTGCTATCCGATGGGTCCCAAAGTAAGGCCTAAGCTAATTTGTTACAACAGAAAGTTCCTAATACAATAAATAATAATAATAATAATTATAAAATAATAATAATAATAAAAGTTCCTAGGTGCCCAGTTACTGGTAAGAGAAACATGGAAGTGAAATTCCTTTCTGTTTTAGAAAACTCCAGAGGAGAAAAAAAACGTGTAGTAAAAAATATGTGATAATAACCTTGTGACGCTAGATGAAGCAAAAGATTTCCCAGGTCATCAAGACTCAAAAACTTTCCTCCTGCAGTCTGGTCGAAGGTGAAAGTAGTTTCCATAGGTTCTGAAGAATTTTCTTCTTCAAATGCCACTTCCCCCTTTGAATGGCTACATGAAATGAAAGTAGCAAAGTTACACGCACAAAACCAAGTACAATAAATTAATTCAGCATCGTCACCAGCAAAAAGTCACGTATTAACCATAAAAGGGAGATACGTGCTAATAAAAAACAGACACCCTGTAAGACATGAGAAACATTTTCCAGATACATTGTTCCATTATTAATCATAGCCATTACAATTTCCTCAAATGTGATTGGTGCATCAGCTGCTATATATTTCACTAATCACTCTGTACATTTGTAATCAGACAGTTTGCTGTAATCGGACAGTGTAATCGGGCAGTTGAAGCAGCCAATCATACTTAGTTCACTCAGCTAAATCCACCAATCACAGAATTAATCACAATAACCCTAGCAACAACCACTAACCTTGAAAAAAAAACGGGAAAATTTCCAAATTTTTCGCTTTAGACTTTGTCCCTACAGGAGATATTTTTCCTAAATGTATTTTCTTTTTCGGAAATTGTAATGGTTATGATTAATTGGTAACAGGACTTCGTGTCGTCTAATTCTGCCTGTAATCATACTCGTGATTGACAAATCAGACTCCCGCTTAGTGGTCGTCCGATTTTGTTAATCACTCGTATGATTACAGACCGAATTGGACTCCACTCAGTCCTATTTCTATTATAAATTTACATCAACGTTTGATTGTAATATTTCACTTAAAGTCAGAGAACACTTTAAGTTCTTTGAAATGTTTAATCCTGGTTATTAGTTCATTTTTTGGGAATTTTTCTATTCACCCTTCACCTTTCGACTTAGGAGATAATATCACGCCAATGCCAGATTCGCACAAAAAAAATTCTCACCTTTTTTTTTCAAGGGGTGTGATGCTTTCACCCTCTAAAAGTCGCGCATACGTTGGATCACTCAGTGCCTCGGCGTATTTAGCAGTGATCAGTTCCTCATTTGCGCTGTTTTTCACACTCCAAACGATAAGATCTGCCTCACTGGCATCTTTGCATGAGACCATCGCGGCTATAGCAACTTCTTCAGAATAACCAAGCGACTCTAGCTTATCCACAAGTGATTGGAACATTTCTTGGTTTGAATAAGGCAGTGTCCTTGCATTGACAGGTCTGCTCATTTGTTCACTCCGATGGTGACTTTCACTGCTTACGCCGTACGACCTGATGATATCCTGCCCACTTTCTTGAGGACAAATGCCACTGAATACAAGGGCAGACTTCAAAGTGGCTGGGTCAATACCTGGCAACACACTCTCCAAGAGATTATACACCTCAAGAGGTACACCATCTACTGCTCTGGGACCTCTTCCCTTCACAACTGCTAATTCGTGCCGAAGGAAAAGCAACTGGCCTGTGGTGAAGTGATTTAATTGGCCATATTGCAATCGTTTTACCCGTAATTCACGTTTCCAGTCTTGAAGACATTGTTCCATTTGTTCACTTTCACCCATTAGCTCATCTGTCAGAGAGGGGTTCGTGGTAAGTCTTGGTGAACAATGAAATTCACGTCTCCAGTTTAGATGACTCACTTCTCCTGCTTTGCAAAGTGAAATGTACACTGCAGCAAGTCGCAGGACACATTGCAGAATCTGTTAAGAGTTGGCACGAAAAATTGTATTCAGTTGGGGTAAGGAAATACAGTTTAACTGTAATAGACTTAGTAAGACGACTCAGCAAATTACCTTTTGAGAAGGAGTAAATTTAAAATAATATTTTATTACGTAAAGAATCTTCAAAAAGAGGTAAACGGAGCAAGAGTGGTTAAACTTTATACTATGAAGTTTAAATATAACAACTGATAAAACTGATGCTGAGGATTATTTAGAAGCATGTTGAGTCACAGCAAATCTTTCTACACCTTCAGCTTAGTTCAAAAGTAATACCCCTTCAACTCCCAATATTTGTTGTGACTAGTTTGCACTAGTTAACGTTAGTTTACGCTGTAGCATTCCCTTCATTGTCTACGGTAACATTCTGAGACAATCAGAAAATGATGAAATGTACTTGAAAGAAAGGAGAGCTAAGAATGCGTATTTCCCTTTGTGGTAATAGTGAGCCCTAAGGGTCAGAGTTCATTCTTTACCCCTACCCATTGTAAATAATGATGAAATTTTTTTATTTTTCTTCCATTATACATTACAACTGTACGTCTATGTGTTTTTCGATGTCTGTCGCACGTTCTGTTCACTTTTCTGTCTTCCTATTTGTCATCAATGTATTCCAGGTAACAAACAGAAACTTACGTCTGAAAATCTGTCTATTTCGTCTTTTCCTTTCGATGCCTTGGCCGCAATAAGCATCAGTTTGCTCTGCAAATCCTTCAGATCGTTAAGAGTGTAACTCTTGCTATGCTCATTGTCCCCAGCAGGCATCCGGAGTTGAATGACCTTTTCAGGAGTCAGTTGCTCCATTGTTGTTGATCTTGAAGTATCTCCATTAAGACATCCAACACAGTAGACGCCATGTAAATTTATTGTCTCAGCCTCCAGCAGGGAGGAAACGGCCACCGAACCGTGGGACGTTCTGACACCCTTTATCCATTCTATCTGAAGGCTGGTTTCCAGCTGTAAATGTTAAAATACAATTCGAAAATGATTTGATACTTGTTGATTTGTCGATGTAAGACGACTAAAATGTGTTTTGAATGCTCTAAGCATTCTTTTTCAAAACTCTTTCCCAGCAGGTCAATCAGGTGTGCTATTAGTAAAAATAAATCACGACATTTGGGGACTTTTGGTTGTAATCAACAGAAGACACGTCAGCTCTACAACGTAAGTGACACAACAACACAACGGTTATTCAGCTGGGTCTGTTGCCAATGGAGTTACTGCTAAAAATGTTGTTCTAAAGTCAAATATGCCGTCTTCTTTCTTCCTCTAAATGCTCAAAATTTAAATGGCTTGCACAAAAAGCTCAGTATTCTCTTTTAGCAAAAGGCACATGGAACGACATCTGCTAACAATGACCTCGGCTAAGGTTAAAGGCAGGGTGAATTTCGATATGGGCACTTCTTCAATAGAGAAACACCGCAATTTTTACAATAATCCACTTTACCAATTTATCAGGGAGGTCGGGGTCTGCATCCACAGCATTCCACACTGGTTTACACAATTCCATCAAGTCTTTGAAGCCAAAGGAAGTTTCCAAGTCAAAAATAAGGGGAGCAAATCCTAAGCAGCTAGCATGTAAGCGGGTTATTCTCGCAGTTTCCAGGCCTTTCTCCGCATCTGATATAATTGCCAAATCCACAAGCACCTTGAGTTCTTGAGGCCCTAGTAAGAGGAAACGAAGCAGTTAGTATTACTTCAATATGATCCAAGGCACTGTTAGTTCCGATTCTTTCCCATCCAATTAAGTCCTAGAAAAAATTATACCTATTCTATTAATCAGTCTAACCAAGACACACAAGAAGGTTTGGAAAGATACTAAACCTTGAGTTTGTCGCCGAGCACAAAAAAGAACTTGGAAATGAGTTGTTACTCTCGATCGACGGTGATTGATCAACTCAAGCTGGGAAACCCAACCTCTTAAATCACCCTCCTTCCTAAGGTCACTCTCAAGTAATTGTTGACGAGGTAACATCCTAAATACGAACATATCACAGACAAGACACGATTACTATTTAGTGACCTTAAGTCTTGAATAACAAGTCAGGGATTACGTTTGAGGCTGCCCCCTTATGAGGGATATCAGTCTGAGAGGTTTTAGACCTCAGTCATAATTTAAATTGCATGCATAAAAGAAACAAATCCTCCATTAGTAATCCCACAGGCTTCAAGATAAATTCTTACCTTTGATGGTCTCCTTCAACCATAAAATGAAGTCTTGACATTGGGTAACAACATCAAGGGATTTTGCGTGGTTATCTGTTATTCCAGATAATAAATTGCCCGTCCTCTCTAAGGCATCATTCATGCTTTGCAACGGCCTCTGTTTGAAATTTCTGTCCATCTGAGAAGACAATTTTTTAAAGGAAATAGAGGGATGATATTTTAAAACTATCTCTTTCCCAGAATCACGAATATTTTGTTAAAGATGTCTATATGTTCACCGAAATGGTGACAAATGTTAAATGAATGTTCAAATTTCTGTCTCACGATGTGGAGTCATAAACGAAAGTGGAGTCAAATTATCAAGTGAAGCTGGCAACGCGCCTTTATCATCAAGAAATCTTACAGCTCATATTTAATGACTGCCCAGTAAACTGCGAATAACGCAGGATCTTTGAGAGTTTACTCTGACTAATTTATTCTTATAAAAACCAAGTGTTGTAACGAATTCAGAAAAGTTTAATTGCTTTGACATTGTATGATGTAAATTAGAGAGACACCGCCATAACTTTCTGATTACGGATGAGACCATGACCTCCGTTTTATTTTCCTTTCCCTTTGTTCATCTTTGATAAATACTTTCACCAATTAAAATCGTCATCCTCAAGGACATGTCAGTTCTGCTTTTGTGAGTGAATCAACATATTTATGGTTCCAGATGCTGCCATACTCAAGATGGTGCAGCATCTGTGCTCAAAATTGGAGATCTAGGTGCAACAAGAACATTATATTGTCGTTATTCCTTTCCATTCTTACCATCACTCCTCTCTTTCACAATGAATTCCTTAAATTCATTCTAATAGAATTACAATTCTCCATTTTCAGCAACACCTAAATTTTAGACGTTTTCTGCTGTATGAGATAGACTAAGTAATTAAAAATAATAAAGAGAGATGGGAATGAAACTTTAAGATATCTCAAACGAGGACGCCATTTATTACATCACAAAGTAGGGTACTTATAGCTGTAAGTTTACCCATACCTGGTTGTACAAAACTTCAACGTCTTGGAAGTCACCTTCAAGACCGACAGCGTTCTTGATAATTTGTGGTACTGCTTTATCTTCCTCATGCGTTGCCCGATTTTTTCTTCGAGCAAATGATCTTGTCGTCCATTGTTTGAAGAAATGATGCGGATTTCTTGCGCAAGATCTTCATACTTGTTGTCGAATAGTTCAAGCAACTTGTCTACGTCCTTAAACGGAATTTCACCACTTAGAAAACGCTGTTTCAAAGACAGAAGCTGCTTTTTAGACGGTATCCAAACTAACTCCAGAACATCTGCAACAGTTATAGAAGTATTTTGCCCTCCTCTTTGTGCAATAATCGTGAGTGCTTTGCTTCCATTTTGCTCCCAAAACTGCCTCAATAAAGTGGAGTCGCGAAGTCGACTTAAAGTGAAGACCATTGACTTCGAGTCAGGTGAAAGACCAAAGAAAATTACCTCTGGTATCACATCACCCCTGACAATCGATGATTGCACAAGGTCTTTAATCAGCAATTTAGAAGGATCAACCTCCGTCTTCTTCAACAATTCAACTAGATTCACTGAAAGAAAGAATATAAGGAAATTGCTTGCGACGTACATTTTAAAAGTTAACTTATTATTTATAAGTCAGCTCAGTCGATGAAATCAAACCATTTTGTAATGCTCTCCCTTCGACATAGCACCACAGTTTCTTTAGGAACTTACCCCTTTATTGCTTTTATTAGGAGCTGGGGAAGGGAAGGAAAAATTGAACACCTCATCCAAAAATTCTAAAAGGGTAAAATAAACAATTATTGGATCAGGTTTTTGGTATATCCAGAATAAGCAAAGTCTGATAACCCTTACTGAGATCTTGGTTTTTCTAAATATCACAACAACCGAATCCAATAATTTTTTTTTTATACATTGAACGAAAAAAATGGTCACGACAGTGAGTGGAACTGAAAATTTATTTCTAAACGTGCAAAAATGTATAAATCAGCAAACAACACAAAGTGCGCGAACTTGACATAATTACCCCTACCCCTTACCCCTTGACATGATATCCCGTGACCTTGAGTGTTCCTGACATGATTATCGTATAATCTGCCGCTAAGTGACGTCCCATGCGCTGATTTCGAAAATTCACTCTACGCTTTCGGCCAATCAGAAAAGAGATAGTGAGTTGAATGCATAATAATGATGCTTATTGACGCCTCATTTGAATGAAGATAATCACTTTGAATCTCAGATGAAAAGGGAGTAAGCTAGAGAATACTCGAATCTCTGGAAAGGGGCTTCAAGACTTAAATTTGGAGCCTGGTAGACTTTCGTGTACTCTGGGTTTGCCGTATTCTTTTCTTAACGCGAGGCAAATTTCGGCTAAAAAAGAAATCATACTTGTTAACCTTAAAAGAGGCTTTGCGAAATTTGAACAATTCTATAGCGCGATTAATACCATATAAATGATGAAAACGTATTTTTCAAAGGGAGATTTGTATTGAATCAAACAGCTAATAGAATTTTCAATAATATAATTGCGGTCAAAAGACGAAGACAACGGACAAAAATGGGTTATTTGTGGGTTTCGTACACCCGTGAAATTCGCCAATGTTTCTTCTAACTGCAAATTTAGCCCTTCCATGACTCGTTTCACCGATAGATTTCGAGCAGGTAGCGATATTTGGGTAGACCTAAGAAATATGCATCCTGACTGAAATCCGCGCTGCAAGGGCGTTTGCATACGTGCTGCAAACAAATTCTGCTATTTTCACTTATGAATTCTGAAAAAGATTTGAAAGATATTTTTTTCTTATTTTTTGGTAGAAACCAGTTTTATGCACTTTTTAGTCACACAGGAACCTTTCCTTTGGGTAGCAGAAGATCTTTAAGTACTTACTGCGTATATATATGTTATTTGCCGGCTTGGAGGTCCGTACGGTGGAAAAATTTTGACCGAGGTCTTGAAAATGTTATCCGAGGCCGTAGGCCGTAGGTACAAATGTCCAGACTGAACGGACTCACCGAGAGCGTATATTTGTTGTAGAACTGAAATTCAAACTTCGCTCGCTCTTTCATTACGAACAAGTTGCTTGAGAAAATTCAGGTATTAAATGAGTGAAAGTTACATCGTTCAGTTTAACTGTAACCGAATACCTCACGTTTAAACTTTCTAGGCACTTTTTGTGAACGATTAAAATTAATTGCAGACGGTTTTCAGGCCGCTTGTCAGCCAACGTAATGACACTATTTATACAAATTCATTCTGAAACCAATATTTTTCTGTCAACCAAAGTGATTTGTGAGAGAGAAAAGAGATTTATCAGCTTGAGGTAGTGACCGACGTGTTTCCTTAAAAATACTGCCCAGCCGGAAAAAAGAGATATATTCATGGAAAATGGCAACGAAAGTAGGGATGTACTCGGCGACTCACGAAAGCGTTACCGTGGCCCGTGAGCAGAGATAGGAAAATACTGACCGGTAAAGAACCAATCAGATTGCATGATTCGTCACCGTGCCCTCTAAAAAAAAGAATAATATGTTTGCTTTACCTGTTCCCAAAAGGACGTGAAATACTAAATTTACAACACGGAGATTGATGGTAAAACTTACCCAACTAAATACGGGCCTTGTCCATTTGGGCTTTATTTAATTTATGAAAAGTGCAAGCAAAAAATTGTACGAGCACCCCTTCTACGATTCATACTTAGTACGTTAACCTGGTTATTACCTTGCTTGAGTGTTGAGCACATCCTTATGAAGGCACCAACGTTATCTCGTTCCTGAACAAATGCATCTAATTCAATGCAGCGTCGATTTAATGACTGTCTAAGAAAGTCTATTTTACTTTGCTCCCTGTATATGTGGTCATAAAGTACTAGAAATCTGTCTGAATGATCTCGGAGTACACGGACCATTTCACATTCGATAGCTCCATCTTTTAAAGAGTCAGCTGCTGCTTCAATAGATGATAGAGCCTTCATCAAAATATCCCTGCCATCTTCTTTGAGAACCCGTCGGAGGTCTGAAGCTTTTCCTGAAAAAAAGGTCCAATTAAAACAGTTTAAAAAGTCAGATATGAAATGATTATAATTTAATGAAACTATGTACAAGCCAACCCTGAGAGTAAACATAAGAAGCCTTCTAGAAAAGCAAACAAAAATACACTTATCCATCAAATATCGTACCAAATCTTTGGAAAAGCAGGCCAAAGCCTCCATGTCAGAACGTGCCTCAGAATGTCTTTACTTGAACGTGGGGCCTCTTCTCTGTACCTCTGGCCAACAACTTGTCAACATTAGAGTTAGCAATCGGCCACACTCTGAGGCCTGAGGAGAATCGAGTCCGTACTCTGTAAGGTTTCTGAATACTTCTTCATC